AGCCAGCATGGTAGTGCATGCCTGTAGTTCTGGCTTCTTGGAAGGCTGAGGCGGAAGGATCACCGTAGCCCATCAGGGTGAGGCTGCGGTGGCCGGGAGCGTGCCAGAGTGAGATTCCACTGGGCGCCAGAGTGAGATTCCAACTCAAAAAAAAAAAGGGAGGGGGTGTCATGAGACCTCAACTTCCTCATCTGTGAGACAGGATGAGACTCTGGGCACTGCTGAGTCCTAGGACTGTTGTGACAATGCTGGATACTACAAGAAGGGCATGTTCATGGCCAGCCTCAGTGGCTCATGCCTGTTACCCCAACACTTTGGGAGGCCAAGGTGGGAGGATTGCTTGAGCTTACCAGCCTGGGTAACACAGTGAGACTTTGTCTCTACAAAAATATTTTTTAAATAATTAAAAACAAAAGAAGGCATGTTCATTGAAAGATTTTATTGTTTTGAAAGTAAAACTTATCCAAAGTGTTGGACTATTTGCTGTGCAATTTTTATGACGGCTAGCATTGCTTCAGTTCTTCGTTTTATTTTGTTTTGCCTCATTTTCCTATTTCCCTTTTCCCTCCTTTCTTCACAGACAGCCTGAGCCATGTGTTTCAGTGGCTGGGGTTCAGCGTAAGCAAACATGACAACCTGACTAAAGCTTGCCTGGAGAAGGTTCTAGAGAAGTATAAGAGTCACCCGGACCACGCTGGTGCAGACTGCTTCGTGTTCTGTGTGCTGACCCATGGGAACCTCGGGACGGTCTACTCTACAGATGAGGCCCCCATCCCCATTCGGGAGATCATGTCATATTTCACAGCCCAGCAATGCCCCGGATTGGCTAAAAAACCGAAACTCTTTTTTATCCAGGCCTGTCAAGGTAGTGAGATACAACCATATGTGTCCATTGAAGCAGATGCCGTGAACCCTGAGAACACAGAACAGTGTTCTATTGGGGACAGTATTCCCACTGAGGCAGATTTCTTGCTTGGTCTGGCCACTGTCCCAGGCTACAAGTCCTTTCGGCACAAGAAGGAAGGCAGCTGGTACATTCAGTCTCTGTGTAGTCATCTGAAGAAGTTGGTGCCAAGGTGAGAGTTCTGAGTTGTTGTATCCACCTGTCTGTTCATCTGTCCATCCACTTATCTGTCACCTTCCTGCTTATCTATCCATCCATCCACCCACTCACTCACCCATCCATCCACTTATGTCCATTCACTCGTCCACCCACCGTTTGTCCATCCAACCACCCGTCCATTCATTCAACCATCTGCCCATTCATCCATCTGCCCACTCGCCTACCATCTACCCATCTACCCATCCAACAACCTTGTATTGACAGCAGCATGGATCTGAAGAGGAAGATACAGAATAAAAAAAAGACACAGTTGCTGCCCTCAAGTTGCTTACAAGCTAGAAGGGTAGACACACGAGTAGATGGGATAGAGCCTCCCAGGTGGTCATTGCACATTGTGAAGCATAAGTGTTACGGGAACACACAGAATGAGCCCCTCACCCAGATTTGGAGGATGAGAGGAGGGTTCTAGAAGTGACAAATACATGCTAGGCAAAGAGTCAAGCGAAAGATGTGCTGGGTAGCGGGAACAGCATGAACAAAAGTGTGAGGGCCTTTTATTTGTTCCTTTGTTGATTAATTTGTCAGTTACTCATATTTAGGGAGCACCTATGTATAGTCTTCAGTGTTCCATTTGCCACTGCTCTGGCAACTTATCTTTTGTCTCTGCCATATGTTCTTTATCTGTATCCTGGAAATGGGCTGACGTTAAGGTTCTTTCCTGGGACCCCTTTTGTGTTTTTGTGTTCTCTCTCTCTCTCTCTCATTCTCTCTTTCTCTCTGTCTCTCTCTCTCTGTCTCTCTGTCTCTGTCTCTGTCTTTGACTTTCCCGCACCTCCTGGCAGTTTTAGCTATACCTATAGGCCAGGGACACTTCCATGACACTGTTTCCAAAATTGCCCTCTCTGGTCCACTCATCTCTGAATTCCTGGAGGGCAGAGACGCTGTTTCATTCAACTTTATAGCCTCAGGCCCTGATGTATTGTTGAACTTTCATTCATTGGCTTGCCTGGAGCCAGCCTCACCTGCAGCCTGCCAGACATCCTACCCCTGTGTTGCCCGTGGTCCTTCCCTTTAGTATGCATCTTACTGAGTTCAACTTCCTAGCCTTCGCCAGGAACTTCTACTCCTGAATTCCTGTTTCTAGGAATGGCTACAATGCTCTCCTGGGAATTCAGAGTTGTTGCCTTGAGTCAACCTTGCTTTTCCCTCTTCTTTGCCAACCCCTCTATCCCCACCCCAGCCATCAAAGGCCAATGTCTATGGCTTCAGGAACAAGGCAGTATTTACTGAGGACATACTCTGTGCCTGCCGTACTGAGTACTGAAGAGGGGCTGGGAGTGAAGTTGTGAATAAGAGAGACAAAATCTCCTCTTTGTGGGCTGATAGTCCAGTGAGAGGAAGACACGTAATGAAAATGAAGTGAATATTCAGTGGGGTGTGGTGCCTCATGCCTGTAATACAAGCACTTTGGAAGGCTGAGGCTGCAGGATTGCTTGAGCCCAGGAGTTCAAGACCAGCCTGGGTTACATAGCCTTGTTTTGAGACCTTGCCTCAAAAAAAAAAAAAAAAAAAAAAAAAATATATATATATATATATGAATATTTAAAGAGTTACCATGTTACTATTATTTTTAAAAAATTCAACAGTATGAAAAGGAGAGAGTATGCAAGCATGATTAAGCAGTGCCTGTTCTTTTGCAGCTCCCAAAATTTCTTTTTGTTTTTTTAAAAATTTTAATTGATATTTATACTACTACATATTTATGGGATGCCATTTGACATTTTGACATATATTCTGTAATGATCAAATCGGGATAGTTAGCCTATTCATCCCCTCATACATTTATCATTTATTTGTGGTGAGAAACTCCAAAAGCCTCTCTTCTAACTATTTTGTATTTTACAATAACCTGCTGTTAACTAAGATCATCCTGCAGTGCAATAGAATACCAGAATATTCCTCCCTTCTAATTGTAACTTTGTACTTGTTGAATAACCTTCCACATCTTCCCAGTCCCTGGTAATCATCATTCTACTTTCTGCTTCTGTGATATCAACTTTTTTTTTTTGAAGAGTCCACATATGAGTGAGAACATGCAGTTTTTTTTCCCTTTTCTGGCTTATTTCACTTAACATGATGTTCTTCAAGTTCATTCATGTTGTAACGAATGACAGGGTTTCTTTCTTTTTAATGACTGAATAGTATTCCACTGTGTATAAATACATTTTCTGTATCCATTTCTCTATTGTTAGACACTTAGATTAATTCCATATCTTGACTGTTGTAACTAATGCTGCAGTAAACACGAGGTTGCAGATATTTCTTTGACACACTGATTTCATTTCCTTTGGATACATATACCCAGTAGTAGGATTGCTGAGTCATATGGTTGTTATTTTTTAAATTTTTTGAGAAACTAACATACTGTTTTCCATAATGGCTGTACTAAGTTACAATCCCACCAACAGTGGATAAGTGTTCCCTTTTCTCTACATCTTCGCCAACGCTTGTTTTCTTTTGTCTTTTTGATAGTAACCATTCTAACTGAAGGGAGTGAGGTGGTCTCTCGTTGTGGTTTTGATTTGCATTTCTCTGATGATTAGTGATTTTGAACTTTTTTTTTCATATACCTGTTGACCATTTGTATGTCTTCTTTTGGGAAATGCCTGTTAAGATCTTTTGCTCATTTTAAAATTGGATTATTTGTTGTTGTTTTGCTGTTAAGTTCCTTATATATCCTTATATATTGAACCCTTTGGAAGATGTATAGTTTGCAGATTTTTTTCTCCCATTCTCTATTTTCTCCCATCTCTTCACACTGTTGTTTCCTTTGCTGTGTAAAAGCTTTTTAGTTTGATGTAATCTCATTTGTCTATTTTTGCTTTTGCTGTCTGTGCTTTGGAGGTCTTATTTAAAACACTCTTGCCCAGCCCAACTTCTTAAACCATTTGCCCTAAGTCCTCTTCCAGTAGTTTCATAATTTCAAGTTTTACATTTAAATATTTAATCTGTTTTGAGTTGGTGTTTGTATATGGTAAGAAGTAAGAGTCTAGTCTCACTCTTCTGCTTGTGGATATCCAATTTCCCCAGCACCATTTACTGAAGAGACCATCTTTTTCCCAATGTCTGTTCCTGGTATCTTTGTCAAAAATAAATTAGCTGTAGGTGTGTGAATTTATTCCTGGGCTCTCTATTCTGTTCTATTGGTCTATGTATTTGTTTTTATATCAGTCTCATGTTATTTTTGTTACTTTAGCTTTGTAGTATATTTTGAAGTCAGGTGATGTGATGCCTCCAGCTTTGTTCTTTTTGCTCAGTATTGCTTTTGCTATGCACAGTCTTTTGTGGTTCTGCATGAATTTTAGGATTGTTTTTTCTATTTATGTGAAGAATTTCATTTTTTAAAAGAGATGAGATCTTGCTGTGTTGCCCACCATCCTTCCACTTCAGCCTACAGAAGCTGGAACTACCATTCCTGCCTTTAGTATTTTGAAAGAAATCATGTTAATTCTGTAGATCATTTTGGGTAGCATGGCCATTTTAACAAGATCATTCTCTAATACATGATCACAGGATGTCTTTCCATTTATTTGAGCCCTCCTCAATTTCTTTCATCAGTGTTGCATAGTTGTCAGTGTTTAATATTTAAATTAATATGACAGTTTCGGAAAGTGATAACTGCTCTGAACAAATCAAAACAGGATAATGATATGGTGATTTGAGAGTGGGGCAGATGGTTACTTGAAAAGGGTTCTTGGTGCAGGGGATACTTCAGGTAGGACTAAATGATGAGACGGAATCAGCCACAGGGAGACGTAGGAACAGAGAGAAAAACTTATGCAAACAAGATGCAGGGCCTGCACCACCAACTGAAAAATGATGATGATGAGGAGGAGGACAATAGTAATAGTTCTACTAAAAATTATGGTCAGTGAAGTAGTGTAGTCAATGTTCTAAGTGCTTTTCCTGAAACACATCATTTGATTCTTACAACAGTCCATATGATAGATACTACTATGATCTCTATTTATTGTTGTTGTTGATGTTGTTTGTTTGTTTTTTGAGTCAGAGTCTCCCTCTGTTGCCCAGGCTGGAGTGTAATAGAATGCTCATGGCTACTGCAACCTTGACTCGCAGGGCTCAGGTAATCCTTCTGCCTCAGCCTTCCAAGAAGCTGGGACTATAGGTGAGCACCACCACACCTAGCTAATTCTCTTTGATTTATTGTAGAGATGAGGTCTTTTTTTTTTTTTTTTTTTTTTTTTTTTGAGTCGGAGTCTCACTCTGTCACCCAGACTGGAGTGCAGTGGCTGCTCCCGGCCACCGCAACCTCAACCTGCTGGGCTCCGGCGATCCTTCCTCCTCAGCCTTCCGAGTAGCTGGAATTACAGGAATGTGCTACCATGCCCGGCTGATTTTTTTTTTTTTGATTTATTGTAGAGATGAGGTCTCGCCTGCCCAGGTGGGTCTCGAGCCCGCGGGCTCAGGCAATCCACTCTCCTCAGCCTCCCAAAGGTGCGGGATTACAGGCTGAGCCACCGAGCCCGGCTGAGATGAGGTCTTACCAAGTTTCCCAGGCTGGTCTTGAACCCCTGGGCTCAGGCAATCCTCTTGCTTCTACTTCCCAAAGTGCTGGGATTACAGATGTGGGTCATTGCACCCGGCCTGTGGCCCTCATTTTAGAGCTGAGAATACTGAGACACAGGGAAATAAGTAACCCGCCTAGGGCCACACAATTAGTGAGTGATGGGAGCCACAGTTCAAAATTGTGTCTGTGTCTAGAGCCTAGGTTTGCTTCCAGTGATATATATCACCCACGCCCAGGATGTTCTGGTAAATACTACACACCCTGCAAGCCAAGGCACGAATACTACCTTCATAAGCCTTTTCTCCTCCTCTTAACCAGAAATACTTTTTCCTCTGAACTTGCAGTGGAACTTTGACCTACCTTTCATATAGTCTTGATCACATTGTGCCTTGTGTTATAAATATTGTGCATATGCCATCCTTGGTAAATGCTTTATTGCGGGGGTCCTGGCCCGCAAGGGTTGTGAGATTTCCTGAAGGAGAGACGGATAGGCGAAAGACGAAAACATTATACTCGGACACCTGCTTCTTGAACAGATGACAATTTAATGTTAGCTAAGGGAAAGCTTTTATACCATTTGTAAAGGGGCAAGACAAAGAAAATTCCTTCACATACATATCCTCTACAAGTTACCATCATCTAGTGGTCTTAGCAGTAAACAAGCCAAGAACCCTGTAAGCATTCAGACAATGAGTCTTATTCATAAGGCCAAAGATGATAGTTTTAGTCCAAAGTCCCAAATTACAGTCCTTGAACTGTCTCCAGAAAGTTTAGCAGTAGTCTTCCTTCTGGGGCTTTATGGCCTTCAGAGTTCTGTAATCGCCTTTGTTGTCCAGGTGTCTTCGTTACTTTTCTCTTATCCTGCAGTGCTTGTTTCTAAAGAAAACTCAAAAGAAGCTTTTAGTAATGTTTCTCAGGCCCCCAAGGTTGTTTTCTGCCTTTAGCTAAGTTGTCATAAAAGTGTCTGATTAGTATATTATGAGTTCAGTGAAAACCCACTTTATAAATGTTAACTTAGTGTTTTAACTATTGAATTAAGTAAAAACCTTAAAGATAATCTTTATCCTAAGTTAGTGAAAACAGTGTTATAAATCACCTACATAACTCCTAGATAAGTGTTAGAACTTATGAGCTCATAATAAACTTACTATAAACTTGTGCTTCTAAAGAACCTTATGTCTAAACACTAAACTGCATAATCCTAAATCAAATAAGGAGTGAATATACTTATATCATTTATTACTTAAGTAATATCTAGTAACTTATAACCAAGTGAAAGAAAGCATTCTTGATGTGCTTCAGAGTTTAACCCTTGCATATGTTAGAAAAGGCCAAGCGGCATAGTGGGAAAATGGAAAAATGAACCATGACGTCTCCAGGTTAGCTGTGATTCTTCACATAAACATGCCATCTTCTTCTTCCACGACTGCACAGAATTTCTTCAGCCGTACCAACAGCAAGGATGGAAGATAGAAGGGCCTCAGCTGCCTGAATTCGCTTTGCAGCCGGGGGTCCTCAGCGCACCTGGACTTTGTCAATCAGGCAGGCCTCCCAGGCTGGCTCCCAACACTTTATGTCTGCATTCCAAGTGCTTAAGTTCAAGAACTGTGTCATGCTTTTACAGAGGGCATTATTACTCTAATGTGGAATCTGCTGCATATTTATCTATCTAAGAACCTAGTATTTGGTATCTGGTGTCTTTCTAAGACTTGTTATGGTTTCTGCCTCCTGACTGAAAAAAATTTTCTTCTCTCTCTGCAGACAGGAAGACATCTTATCCATCCTCACTGCTGTCAACAATGACGTGAGTCAACAAGTAGACACATACAAGGAGATAAAGAAACAGATGCCCCAGCCTGCATTCACACTAAGGAAAAAGCTAGTATTCCCTGTGCCAGAGGATGCACTTTAATTATTGTGGAGAGTTTTCATCAGCTCTTAGACCTGAAAGGAACCTGTGGCTGTGTCCTCTAGCCTCCTATCCAGCACAGGCCGATGATAAACTGTGAGCTTGTCTCTACCTGTCAGTTTAGTAATAGGAAACTCCCTGCTTTCTGATACAGTCATTTCTGTTTTCTTTTTCTCTTTTGACCAGTCCAAATGTTAGGCAACTTTCTCTATTAGAGACTTGGATTATAGCTTTCGTTTTGGGTGTGTATCCAGAAGAGAGAGTAATTAGCCTTGGCTTGTGTATCTGTGAAATGCAAGGTGGGGCTGGTTACATTTTAGGGTTCCTTTGTGCTCAAAGACTTTGTGCCTAGACTGAGCTAAGAATTCCTCTTCCGGCGACCACCCTTTGGTTATAATTCTGTGTTCCTTCTGCATGACCTTGTGCATTGGATGATGAGATCATATTCCACCTGCCCTCCCTTCTCGCCTTCTTCCCAAGACTTCTCTTCTGCACATCCAGTGAGGTGAACGTTTGGTTTATGCCACGCCCATTTCCTGCTTTAGTGTAAGGAAGGTGCTCATGGGTCAGCGACAGACTTGGATCCAGGACGATGACGGCTCGAAGTGAAGAGAGACACACTCAGCTTTTCTGGGAATGGAAACTTAACATCTTGATGGCAAATTCCATGTTGGTGGGAACCTTTCAGGGAAATGTATTGCCTCCTCTTTCACCTGGAAACCCACAAGGGGACCTAGTCTACAGTCAGCAACTTTCTCTGGGCCAGATGTCCTCAGGGACTGTGTCAAGGGCCCCACTTGGCACTCACACTCTCTCTGCTCCTCTGGTTCCTGGGATGAGGAGAGAAGCTGTCTCAGGGACTGCAGCTGTTCACCAGCTGGAGGGACATCTGGCTATGCCTCGTAGGTGTGGCTCTGTGAATGTCTTGATACTTTTTACATTAAGATTGTGAACATTTTAATGTACTTGAGCGATTTTCTTTTTTCATTTTCAAGAGGCACTTTTTCTTTTTAATTCCTGGAGCCATGGTTTGCGAGTGAGTGCACACCGCACTCCAACCTGGGAGACGGAGGGAGATGCCTACTGAAAAAAAAAAAAAAGATAATCTTCCAAAACCATTGGTCAGACCAATCAAGGCTGAAAGTATGTGATCACAGTCTTTGTCCAGTGGGCTAGACACAGCCTCTGACCACTTAGCAGTCCTTCTCTGCAAGCGACCCTGCAGGTGGGGTGCAAAGGAAAGAGCAGAAGATTGGGTTTCCATTTTGACCTGTGATTCCCTTGCTCTGAGACACTAGCCAGGCTGACTTTTGAGCCTTCTTTGTAAAGCAGAGAAGATATTAGCTGTTGGGAAGGTGGAAGATGTGTGTACACACGCCCATTAAAATTCACTTGTGCTGAGGTGCACACAAGCCTTTAGGCGGCGAACCCTCTGGTTGTGACCTCAACGAAATAGCAGGGCTTGCGCTCCTTTGTGCCTCACTCCAGCTGACATTCTCAGCCCAGCGCAACACTAGCAAGAGCCCTGGCATCCTCCCAGGGAAGGCCTGGCTCAAGATGCCTGCAGCAGCAGGAGGCCAGCCCTTGGCTCTGAGTTCAGTTGGACAAAACCCTGTTGATAGACTCCTTCAACAGAGACATCTGGGCATGCTTACATTTTTTGGCCCGTGGTCTATTTCATATTTCTGTTTTTCTGGAACTAAACATTTGTGCAGGGTTAAATTCTAGAATCAGGAACGTTTCTTTTTTTTGAGGACTTCAGCAAGCACTTTAGGGGTACCTGGACACTGGTGGCTGTGATTCTGGGGTATATACAGACACTGGAGTGTGATCCTTACCGTTGCCTCATTCTCCCTCGACAGGACACATGCACACGTATAGCATGTGTCCACCAAGACTGTGTAAGACGTTTTGCTTGTCTGTATTTAAGTGTATGTGTGTGTGTGTGTGTATGTGTGAACTTACAGCCTAGGAATCATGGGTGGTTTGGTCACAGATATGTGGCAGTGGCTACAGCCATTGTGTGCCCAGACATTTAGGAAGGAGATGAGCTGATGTAGTGATGTTTCTATCTATTCTGTCTAGTTTTACTCATTCTACAGGAACTGTAGTTATTATTTTTTCTTTACTCTTCTCTTTCTTTCATTCTTTCACAAAAGTTTGACTGTGGTCAGACAAGATTAAAGACATGAAAACATGTGATAAAGTATACAAATGTTAGTTATTTGATACTGATACTACTGGTGCTTGTTTTTAGTAGAGCCATGGGGACGTACATTGGTGGTGGACAGGTTTGCTCTCATAGGGGTGACCCTTACAATGCATTCTATCCTGCCAGTGATCAGGTGACATTAAACCTATAAGCAGACGGCACGTTGCAGATTCTGACCAATCAGAGCAAATACTGGCTGGCAGAACACAATGGTGAATGTTGCTGAACAGCAGACCCTTAGCAAAAATTAAGTCTCCACTGAGGTAAACCAAAGTCGACATTTATCTTGCTTCACAGGTAATTTTTGGATCATACACGATACACAAAATCTTCCTAGACAGATAGCTTTTGCGTCATCTAGTCAAGTTGTTCTCAGCCTTTTGGGCCTTTAGGTGATGATGAGTTGATTCTCAGAGGCACGTGAGCTCTCCACCTTCATTTTTAATTACTTTTTGCCAATAATCTTTAACACTTCGTAGAGATGCATCCTGGTCTTCTGCTGCTTTTTGTCTGAGCACTGCCACACAATGTCTGTGCCTACAGAGAGTGATGGACTTCGCCTTGAACCTTTTAATGTAGCATGGCTGGGTGGCCATGGCTAGAAGACCTCAGGTGTGTTGTAAGGAGCCATCCTCTCATACCACAACAGACTATTCCCTCCTTCACCTTCACCTCCACCGAACTCTTCTAGCAGAGGAAGCACACCACAGGTGAGGTCGTGGATTTGGGAGCTTGAAAGGACCCTCATGACCCTGGGTCCGGCCCTCAGAGTGTCAGGTGACTTAGCAAACCTTATAGCCATCCATGGAGGACATGCAATTCTTGTGTCTCTGGATTTGTGATCTTGTATGCCTTCAAGCTGCCTGGTTTCAGCTATCAACTGTTCTTTTCTCAGTTGGACTGGAAACTGCCTCCGGAACCTATTCAAAACCACTTTCTCTCATTCCAAACCCTGGAGCCATATCAAGCATGTGTAACTGTCCCCTGGTGAGGCATATATTGCATGTGGCAAATCATGTAACTTTTTTTCTTGTAGGGTCTAGGTTTTGAAGTCTGTAGTTTGCTCTTAAGGATGTGGTAAGAATGAAGCAACACATCCATATCTTTCAATGGGAACTAAATTTTTGAATCTAGTTTTTTTTAAATGACATTTTTTACAATTAAAAAAATTGTTATTTTAAATAGAGACAAGGTCTTGCTATGTTACCCAGGTTGATCTCAAATTCCTGGCCTCAAGCAGTCCTCCTGTCTTGGCTTCCCAAAGTGCTATGATTACAGGCCTGTGCCTGGCCGACAAGTTAAAAAAAAAAAAAAAAACCTTTAAAAAAAGTACTAGAGGAAATTCCCTGTTTAAAGAATGACTCATTTGGCAATGCAAACAACCATTTCCTAACATAACTTTAGCAAATCTGAATTTTTTAAAAAAGTTTTTCTATTAAACATTTTTAATTGTATTAATTTTGACTTTTTAAATTTAACTTTGAATAGACATATATATATATTTTGAGTTGGAGTCTCACTCTGTTGCCCAGGTTGGAGTGCAGTGGCACACTCATGGCCACCCCAGCGTAGACCTAGTAGGCTCTGGCAATCCTTCCGCCTCAGCTTTCCTAATAGCCGGCACTACAGGCGCGAGCTACCACACCTGGTTACTTTTTTATTTATTGTGGAGATGAGGTCTTACCAAGTTGCCTGGTCTGGTCTCGAACCTGTGGGCTCAGGGAATCCACTTGGTCTCCCAAAGTGCTGGGATTACAGGCTGAGCCACTGAGCCTGGCCGATCATTTTTTACAAAGATATTTTGTATTGTTCAAAGGTAAGAAAATATTAAAAGGTATTTAAGAAAATTTTTGTCCCTAGTCCTGTTGACCGCATACCCACTTCCTCATCCCATAGATGACTCTGGGGTTTTCTTAATGCAAATACAACAAATACAAATATATATGTATGCTATGCATATATGTATATATTTTTAAATAGATATTTCTTGAAAGAAAGGACACATTCATTGTGAAACTCATCTCTCTCATTTGGTTTCATTTTAAATGGTTCTGTAAGGTGCTTGCAAAATACTGGTGTAATTCTAGAATGGAGATAACTTTATGAGCTTTGTGGATGGGGTGCTTGTAAATAGTAGAAATTGGCTTACTAATAAAGGATTTTTTACCTTTGACTAATATCCTTGATTTCATTTAATAAACTTTTTTCCTGATTCCATAGTCATGTGTGCTTAATGTGGAATATTTTTGGAAATACAAGACCACAGAGAAGCGTGTATTCATTTATAACTCCATCTTGGCGTGTCTCTTCCCATTCTTCACTCTGCATTTGTCCCACATCATCCCTAACCCTTCTTGGTGAGCTTGTCCTCCGTGTCCCCCAGTCATGCATCCAGGACACTTTGTCAGGACTGATACCTGTGCTTCCACCCAAGCCTCAATTTCAAGCATGCCCCTCTCGACAGCCACCTCTGACCAGTCCATCTCACTTCTTCCCAGACGCTCCTTCCACAGTCTTCAGTGTCACTGGGCCTCCAGTTAGTTGACTGACCCAACTACCATCTTTCCCTGTCAACACTGTCCCCACTCCTCTTTGCCCAGCTTAGGGTCCACGTGTCATCATTAACTCATCTCCACACCGGCCCTCAACACCCCTGCCTTTCCCTGGGTCATGCTCATGTAGTTAACCCCCTAAGTGTGTATCCCCCAAGGTCGTGCTGGAAACCCCATGTGTGGCTGGTGTACAAGCACACCGTGTTGCAGACAGGCTTCAGTTAAAACCAGTGACTGCC